TACATTACACGTAAATGCCTGCTTAATATTGGTTACAGTCAAGAGCACGTCAAGCTTGACGTATTGAACTTTGAACTCTTCTTGTCGTAAGTGGCATAGAGTTGGATTTAAATCTTATGTGCCAAGCTTAACGTGCTTTTGACACTCTACTATTTAATTTGTGACGAATCTATCTATGAAAAGTCAAAGATCAAATTTTCAAAGAGAATTAAAAAAAACAGAATTTGTAATAACACCAAAACTGAAACGCTGTAGCAGTGCTATGCAGGTTGTGTAGAAACCTTAGTATTAATTAACTGCCTCTGTGCTGAACCGAGGTCCCAGGTTCGATTCCTAGGCCGGGAGAAATATTTATCTGGCCTACATTTATTTCTCTTGCGAGTTTGGGTGTAATTTGTGGTTGCCTATGTGTGTGTCCATGGTACCCGCGACACAGGGTTTCCCCAGTGCGGGGCTATGTTGAGTGTGTGCGCTATTAATCAATATTAAGCAAAATGGTTTTTCCTAATTGCCTTCAAAAGAAGGAGAAAGTTCTTAATTGGACTGTATTTTTTTTGTGTGTATGTCACGCATTACTTTTGCATGGCATTTGTGAACAGATTTTGATGATTCTTTTTTGTTGGAAAGGGGTACCACAGTAGCTCTCATTCAAATTTGAAGAAAATATTCCACCTCGAAAGTCGGCAAACTAGGGGATGAATCCGGTTTCGCGCACTTTCCGGTAATCGATTTGAATAAAACTGGGCAAATAGATGTAATTCCACGAACTATAGAGGGCAGTTTAAAAAAAAAAAAATTAAACTTAGTTTTACTTCCATTCTGTATGAACATACTATAATTGTAAGTCAATGGAACATACGTACCAATTTAAATAACAATTTTTCTATTGCCTTTACTTACGGTTTGCGAGATAAATATTTTTGTGATATAGATATTACTTAATACTACACGGATTTAATAATATATGTGAACCGTACCTACCCTATTTATATTTAGTATAATAAAGTAACAATTCGTGACAACACGGTCTCATACTATAGGTAATGTGTGCCCTAAGAACGTTATTGGCCTGCAGTACATTTTAGCTGCAGTTATGTATTTCCCAATAGGCCATAATGCATGTAATCTTGCACGATTTTAAATACGTCAGAACCGCTTCTCACCATGATTGGTAAAACTTAATTATCATTCATTTCCCAATACAAACTTGTATGAGTATTTGTGTAGCTAATTATTTTAGAAGTGGAGTGACAAGGACTTTAGATTTATCGAGAAGTTTTTAAGTATTAGTTGCGGCTATTTTAGTTACTTGGCTAATAGAACTGTCAACCCAGGGAAGAAAACCTTCAATATCAAATCGTATTTGTCGACCTTTCTAGACACACTGGTAGACTGCTACACTTAGGTAGAGGAACGAGGTATATCTAGGGTTTCATACCTTGAGGGAGGCGTCCTCCGATCTGGGGGTCTACTCCCATTCTGTCCGGAATAATTGCTGCCAAATAAGTAAATAAAAGTATCTAATACTCGACCATCCAAAAGATGTATGATGCGAATGAAGCTTCATACTTGACATGGTCTTTTGATTTGCTCGCGTACCTTACTTAACACTGTTTACCGTACTTATTTAACAGTATTTAATTGTTTCAGACGGATGTCGGACATAGAACGGGAGTAGACCCTTGCTCAGGAAAAAAGTTACTATGACAATCTATTGTGGATACGTATTCAGCGGTCTTTCAGTTTACAAACACGTTAAACTAAATACAAGGAAATGATCAACAGCTCTTTTTTTTCTACGCAATTTCGTTTTCAATTTGTCTTTACATAACAGTAGCATTTAAAACTAGAATAAGACCATTAAACTACGGCGTAGTAGAATGAATGAATTGCGCTTTGTAGTTGACACTTTCTCGTTATTTCCTACAATTATACTTATGTTCCATTAAGTACTTACAATGTAACAATAAACAATAGAAATCTGGATTTTTTCTGTTTAATCTATTGGTCTCGTATAATAACTACAGATATTTAATTTTAACTATTTGCATAGAATCATTACAACCATTTCGGTCCCAAAGTAAATCATTTCAAGTGTCGATAGAGTGGCAGGCTTAGGAGGCAGGATTTTGTACGTTTGGTATTCTGCTAAAAGTTAAGAGTAGTGGTTTTTCAGTGGCTAGCCATTGAGCTACTCTTCAAAATGCCATTGCAATTTTTTGGTAATCTGCTCTTCAATGGCAAGTCGATGGTATAGTCTACTTTAATTATTTTGATTAAATTAAGTTAAATTGCTAAATTGCTGATTAGACTTAATTAAGATATGCGTGTAATTTCCATGGTAGTTTTAGCAAGGCAACATCGATCTTTAGTGATTAAATGAGTTAATGCCATCGTTGCCATTCCACTGACACTATTGAGACTCAACTGCCATTTCTAGTAATTTATTGTAATCGGTATAATATCAGTGAAGTCTCAATGGAATTATAATGACCAGTAGTTTAAAGAAAATTGGCAGATTTGGGGCTCTGGCGTGAAGTAAGCCACCGCAATAAAGAGAAAATATTTTCATGACAATTTTAAAATGTTATTCTGTTAGTATGTACCTATGTATTTTATTTACTTTATATACAACCTAGTAGGTAGTATGTATATACTTTATATAAAACAGGCCTACTTCTATACTAAATATGTAGGTATTTCCTTGTAAATTTATATATAGGCCCATTTCATTGCTACCGGCTTTGTCAAAAATAGAAGAGGATTTTAAAGTGTAGGCTCATGAATTATTCAGAAAAAAAAAACAAATTATTATCGGCAGCACAATACGGTTTTCGTCACGGTTTTCGCCATACCAGCCCATAGAGCCATATTTGGAGCAGCTGACTAAATAAGAGTCTAGGTACCGAAAAGATTGTGATCGGAGGAGACGCCAACGCAAAAAGCACCTGGTGGGGTAGTAACAAGATCGATCAGAGGGGAAGTAAGGTCTCTGGAGTTCTTAAAGAGATGGGACTACAACTACTGAATGAGGGGCACGTGCCAACATTTGAAACAGTTAGGGGGGAAAAGTGTATGCCAGCCATGTCGACATAACCACATGTAGTATAAATATGCTCGACTTTATTGAAAACTGGAGAGTTGACAGTGGAGTAACGAGCTCGGACCACAACAGTATTATGTTCAACATCAGGCTGGAAAAATCCAAGGGCATAAACATCTCCAGAACCACCAGGCGTTACAGCACCAAAAAAGCGAACTGGAACCAGTTCCATATAACCCTGGACCGGCTCAAGATAGAAAACAACATAAGCATGGCAGCCCTTAAACAAGTTAGTAATAAGCTAGAGTTGGAAAGCCTGGTGGAAAAATATATGCGCGTAGTAACGGAAGCGTGTGAAAGGATAAAAACAAAAAAGTTCTCAGCCTGTTTTTGGACTTAGCTAAAGCCTTCGATACAGTCTCTGTGCCCTTGCTTATGTCCAAACTTGAAGGTTGCAATTGGCAATTTTCAAAAAGTTATTTAACGGAACGTAGACAATGTGTTAAAATTGATTGCTAGACTAGTGAGGAGCACCTGGTGGAATATTGTGTTCCACAAGGTAGCATTCTTGGCCCCACACTCTTCCTCAAATACATCAATGACGTGCGTCGACTCTGTTTAGCTTATGGAAGGATCTTTATATACGCAGATGACACCGCCCTGATGCTCTACGGTGGTTCATGAGACGAAGTATTTCGATATACTCAAAATGGCTTCATTGTTGTAATATACAAATATTTACTGTACTTGACTGGCTAAATAGTAATATACTTACCTTAAATGTTGACAACACCAAGTATATCGCCCTTATTATGACTAACGCCACACAACTTAGTAGTGACTCTTATTCTATCTCTCTCTATTTCATGTGCTCATTCGCACGCACGCACTCAGGGTGGGATCCTGGAAATCTGTAACAGTTCTAGTTACCTAGTACGGACTCCAGTCTCTCACTTAAGGTTGTTAACTTTAGATCTTATTAAGCCATGTTCAATGTATAACTACAATGTACATACAATCTTCCTTTCGCGAGAGTGAATAAATAAAATGTTATATTATATAAGCAGCTGTATTGTCGATATGTAAATATATCGACAATACAGCTGTATTGTAAATGCGGTACGGCGTGTATTGTAAATACACGCATCAATTATCTTATTTAAGAGCCAATCTCTTGTCGATGTAGCCACCTCCACATCTCACGGTTCATAGACAGCGCTTTGACCTTCTTACAGCTGCTCACTTTTCTTTTTTATTTGTTCAATATACACCATTCTCGGTCTTTTTATCTCACAATACACACACGAAGCCAATATTCAATTATTCACTTCTGAAGAGTTTACGACAGGCCTTAAAAAAGCCGATTTAAAAATCGTTTACAGTAGCGACAAGTCGGATATTTTTAATTTTTTTTTTTTTTTAATCTGTGCAATTCGACCAAATAATAATTACCTCCCTAAATTACTAAATCACCGGTAAATGGTGTTTTTTTTTAAACCAGACTAGTTTTACAACCATAAATATAATATTTCAAGGTCGAAAAGTTCTTGTAACACGCAAAACAGGTAATGGGTACAGAGTAAAAAATGACATTATTTTATAAAATCCTTTATTAAAATAATAAATAAAGTTGCAAAATAGTGAGTTCGCAGCGATACTTGAGCAGATTTGTGGTGTGTAGAGACTAGCGGCGAATAATCAAAGCTAGCCGCAGTTCGCAACACATTTGCACAAGATTTAAAGCATCAAACCATATGTGAAACCGACCGATACTTTTTTCTTAGTTTGTGCCTGGAAGCTTAAAGTAACTAGTATACACATACCGATATACTAGCTACTTAAAACCAACACGTGAAGAAAACGTAACTATTTTTGATATCGTAATACAATTCATGTTCGTAGAAAAAAAACTTTGTAAAAAGATAATATTTTTTTGTGTGTGCATAGTATTTACAAAAATAGTAGATTTGAATGAATAAGAATGTAAGAAAATTTTCATTTTTATTATTTTTACAGCGAGGTAAAAATAATAATAAAAAATGTAACTAAGAAAAATAACAACAAGACTAAGAATAATTGTAGAAAGGAAACAAATATTTTGAGCACAAAGTATGCAAATGCGAATGTAAAAATAGTAAAATACTGTACTCGACCGACACTGGACACAAGCAACTGTTTGGTAACATAATTCATTGATTTGCGTTCTACGACTTCGTAATAAAATTATATTTACATAACGCCATTATTCTTCAGTATATCTAAATAAATGATTAAGCTATTCAATAAGTATTGTAGATTATATATACAACACAATACAAAATGCCCTTCTTACTTTCGCCTAAATAGTAAAATTAGTATGATTAGCACATAACACACATTTAACTCAAAATACGCTTAATTATTGCCAAACGCAATATACCACGCCATACTAAAATCAAATACCATTTACTCGATAACAAACGCTCATTAGAACAAATACTCACTTATGCTTCTAACATTAGAAGGCATTCAAGAAGGTGACTTTACTTTGTGCATTTAACCACTTTATATTGAAGACAATTAAATCATACTTAAGTAGATCCAACACAATATTCATTATTATTCAAGTAAATATTGTGTTTTATTACAATACAAATAAAGACGTAAATAGCTCTTTGATTCAGTTGGTTGAATTGAGAAGGACGCTCAGATCTTTTGGGAGTGGTCGGGCGTAGCGCAGTCGCAGCAATATTCTGGCGTCTTCTATATACTCTTTACAAGACTCCGCTGGAGTGCCTGTATGATACTTAAGCCACTTCCAGAATCGGCACTTTAATTCGCATTAAACAGAAGACCCCTTCCAAAATGCTACGACTGTAATAACCAAGGTCAATTGTCAAAATGCACTACGCGCAAGGATGTCCCATCAGGAACGTCAGTCTCAGAGAGGCAGTTGGAAGCCTCTGTGGAAGGCTCGCGACGGTTTCTAAAATGCTAAAACTACAGGTCACTTGGGCACTATGAGATAGGTCGCCGGCGCACGAACGCGTCCGCCGATGATGACGCGTATGAATTCGGCACTTCGGAACCTTCTTGCTTATAACCGTTCTTGCCGTTAAGTGAACTAGTTTCGTCTGGCACCACCTGTGAAGGAAGAAAAAACATTCAATCTGTAGATCCAAATCATAAGAGCTGAACGGACTAGGCTGGCATATCCACATGACATATACAAAATTGAAGATAAGGACTATATTGCAGGATAACTAAACCAAATTCATCGACGAACCAATTTTATACTTATGAACAGAGATGGACAGTGGGTTAAGTTAAAACCCAATCAAACGGCTCAGTTTTAATCGGGTTTTTACCCAAAGTGCGGTTTTAACCAATTTCTGCCAAAAAACATCGGGGTAACGACAATATAATTCCATACGTATTACAAATTTCCATGTAAAAATAAGTTTTAGACAAAAAAGAGGCAACTCCACGCAAGGGGGCTGCCCTTTTCAGTGCTGTGGATTCTTACTCAGTAAGTATGCACATTTCGATGTGATGACATGAAAATCGATTTGAGTGCGTTATTTAAATGCGATTTTCAAGTGAATCGATTCAATCGAAAAGCAAACCCAATCGTCTATTATATCAAAGCAATAAACGTTTGGTAATAATACCATTAAATTAGAACAAAATTCGATTTACAACAAATATTTAGTTCTTAACAGTTTTTCCTTCGATTTCAAGAGTTAATGGGTTTTAACCCGATTTAAACCTTGCCCATCTCTGGTTGTGAATATTTATTAAATAAACAATAACGTTTAGCGTATTGAATAATGTTAAATATTCAAGGTCCGCAATGTTGTTCGTTGTTATATTTTTGGTGCATAAGGAAAACGCGACATTGGCTTGTTTACATTATTTTAACATACATATTTCAAACCTGCCCATCGCCATTATTTAATACTTATAAACCGGATAGTAGAAATATTAATTAAAATACTTCGTATCAGACAAAAAGAATTACTAATCCTCTACATTTTCAGCCACTAAACTTTAAAACAACTGCTTTTCATTTTTATATTTTTTTGGGGAATAATAGAGGTTTTGTCTTTTGTTTAATTAAGTTATAAACAATCGATGTAAGTGCTCTACGGATTCATAGACGATTGAAATCAATAATTACAAATTGGTTGTTTTATAACTACAGCATTAACCCTTACTAAACATTACTACCTATTATTACGTTCTGGGAGCTGGCTATACTTTTACGAAAACCGAATGTACAATACAATACAAATTACATACATTTTAATTTTTTACTTAATAATATAGCTTGCACTGTAAGAAGCAAACATACCAAAGTTCATTGCTCTTACAAGAATTCGTACATTACCCTTGATTCTCTTGATATAAAAACGTATACTGCGTCACTACTAGCGTCACATTGGCAAATATGGTTTTTTTTATCATTTCAAGTATCCTTTTTATGGACTCTTTCAATAAATCATTTTCAATCAATGTTATTATATAAATTAAGCTTATTAATCATTACTTCCAATACTCATTATCATAACATCAGTATTGTCATATTTTTATATATGACAATATAGAGATATTACTTTACATAATTTTACCTGTTGCACTTGCTTGTTCGATTATACTAAGAATTTGATACTTCTTTTCTCTATTAAATTAAAAGAAAAGTATTGCGAGTTCAAATGCCTTAAAAATCCGTTACTCTAATTGGTCTTTTTCTAAATTCCACAATATGCTAAGCTACATGTGTATGAGTATTTATCAGATGTATTTTGTCGGTGAGTGGGTAGTAAGGGGGAGCGCTCGCGGCGGCCCATTGCTGCCCGGTTGTTTTTGGCGTTATTTAATGAAATTAATCATTATTAAACTCTCTAGCCACTTCCCGGTAGACCGAGAAAATAAAGATAATTATTACATAAACATGACAACAAAATAACATTTTTGCCAAGTTTTAACCAAAAGATGGCGCTAGTGCAGCCAACGACTAATGCGGCCTGTTTCAAAAGACTAACTTACCATGCAAAGTCCATTGGGAAATGGTCGTTTCCCAGCTGCTTGCTGCTTGTTGTACCGCGCCTTGTAAAAGTCGCTGAAGAGGAAGAGGAATAAGAACCCGTGCATAGCAATCCAGTAGACGAACACGTGAGGGTACGTGCACGACGGCCTGAATAATACTTGCAGCTGGTGGGTGAAGATTATCACGAACTGAATCTGTTGGAACACACAATTTTGGTTAGCACTGAGCGGTGCAGTGCAACATTTAACAGATGGCGCTTAACGTCAAGAAGATTAAAGAGCACTGTGCGCCACTGGCCCTGCTGTGAAACTCAATGATTAATAATATGGCCCGATATTGTATTAAGTCCATTTTAATATACATCCACAAAATTCCTCAATGTAATTCCTTGATGTATAATACGATCCTCCAAATTACGCGCATTTCCGTCGTAATGTTGAGTACTGGTTGCCTGGTTTTATTACAAAAACAGAATAAACCCGCAATCAAAATTATATATATATATATATATTTTTTTTTATACTTGACAGGCAAATGACTCCACTCCACCTGATGTGAAGTGGAAAGTGTTATATATGTTATATATTAATTATGCCTGCTATAGTAAATACTAATTTACTTACCATTTGGAAGGCGGTAAGGTACTTTTTCCACCAAATGTATTTCTGATACTCCGGGCCCATCGCGGCGACCATGTAGTAGAAGTACATAACCACGTGCACGAACGTATTCAGCAGTGCGAAGAATGTGCTGTGACCACCTACGACAATAATTCCATACGTAACATAGACATTTTATTTACAGTATATGTACATAATATATATATATATATACACTCATCAAAAGTGTTTAGGGATCAAGGTATTTTTTTAAATAAATGTTTTAATATGATAATAAAAAAATTATAAAAATATCCATATAAATTTAACACATTATTTATTTATTTTTTAAATTGACAAAAAATCAATAATGTTAAAAAAAAAGAAAACTGATTTTCAGTAATTTGCAAAAACGCACTTCATCCCTGGTTATTTTTGATATGTGTAGTATAATATCATATTACAGGTACTAATTATAAGTTATAATAAGTGGCAAGGTGCCGAGTCTTATCCTTGAAGCTGATAATTAAGTGGCCGGGATCGTAATGGTAAGAGAGATTACACAATTCGTCTGATTGAAGGTAAAATCACATAAGTGACATTGTAAGAAATTCACCACCTTTTTGCAGATAAAATTCTGAATAAGTTTATAGCTTGTTTGTTTTTGAGTTACACGTGCAGAAAGATAGTGATTTTCTTACCATAGCTATATATAAATTAAAGACTTTTTATGGAAAAGTCACTAATGTGGTTTTACCTTTAAACAGACGGAAAGTTACCCTGACACCGCGTGCTGTTTACATGAAGGAATCACAAAAGCAAACTTGAAGGTCGGCGAGTAATTTTTTAGTGGACAAAAGGATGTTAACTAATTCGAAGAGGTTTATTATAATATTTGTGAACTTGGTAACGGTAAAACTCATCATAATTATATCTCAAGATTGTTTTAAAAAAGGGTGGAAGAATGAAAAGTTAAATACTTCTTCTCTTATTCTCATGGGAAGCTTCTTTTTTACAGTAGATGTATTTAGATGCATATTTTTAATGAAAATCCTCTGACACAACTTTGAAGATTATAAATGTTTGTCTTCTGGCATGAAATACGGATAAGGACAACTATCGCTTTAAACATTAACCTTATGGTATCACAAGGTTTAATATTTTACCGCAGATTTCATAACGGATTTCAAAACTATAAGGTCGATCACGGAAACTGATTAGCTGGTTTGTAAGAATAATCAATGCATCCTGCTAAACTCGAAATGTTTACGTCAGCAATAACCTTTAGAAACACAATGGAGTGAGTTTTCCCTTTGCGTAATAAAAATGTGATTAATGGTTGAACTAGTGAATGGAATATTTTGATGTATAAAATGACTTTTCATATCTTTACATATTAACGAACGCTAATAAGGACGTTATTATGACTTGTCAGTGTGTGGCGTGAAGGCACCGGCAAATTATATAGTAACTACAGGAGTTAAAACTCCAAACTAATATTATAAATGCGAAAGTAATTCTGTTACGTCTTCACGCCTAATCCGTTGAACCAAATTTGATGAATTTTGGTGGTAACATAGATGGGATCTTGGAGATGAACGTAGGCTAGTTTTTGTCGCAAATATAAATCTTAAAGGGGGTGACATAGGGGATGAAAGGTTGTATGGTGAACCAATAATTTCTCAAATATAAAGTTCTAAGCTACTTGAAGTACTTATTCTACGCAGACGAAGTCGCGGGAACCAGCGTTTGCTATAAGTCCGAAAATTTCGGCTTATAGTTTTCGAATTGTCGAGCGAATTTTGCTTCTATGCAATATCATCAATCAATCATATCAATCTTATATCCAATTTCTACGTCCTTGTATCGTCTTCCTTTAATGCCGCTTGTAGATATGCGAAGCACAAGTGAGGCGAAAAATCTCCTTTGCCCTTTGAAGCCTTGTTACGCAGATATTTGTTAAGTATATGTTGACCAATTACAGTACCTATAATATATTCTTTGGTTACAATTCACTTAATGTGTGGTATTTGCTTTAATTGGTAAATATGACCTACTAAAGTCAAGAGACAAATGGCACAAATATTTGCCAAATCAATAGCCACGTGACATTCCCAGTGAAGTGCCACTATTAGCGATACTATGATTATACGAACCTGGAGCAAATTTCATGCCGAACCAGACAGACATGGGCATGATACCATGATGGATGACGTGCAACGTGGACACGTGTTCGTTCTTTTTGCGCAGCACAAAGAACAGCGTGTCCGCGAACTCCGTGAACTTGCTAAAGTAGTACCACCAACACGTATGAGCCATCTGTATACAAAATTAGATGTTAGTTTTATAAAAAGTCTCCGATTTTTCATGTAACTGACCAAGTAACCGACCCTTGGGTTTCCAAAAATAGAAATATTGTCTATATGAAAATAACAATTTTTTGCTCATGTGCGTTAAATAATGTTAGAAAAACTCGTGTGAATGTAATTGTTAGAGCATAATGAGCGTAAAGGCCATTCTTCGATAAACTTTTCGTATTAATAGTCTCATAATTTAAATAATGCCTGAAGATTTACGTCACTCTCGCTCTAATCGTTGACTTAGGATCCATATAAAAGAAAATATACGCAAACCCTCACTTCTACTTCGCAATAAAATGATTCAAAATATATTGGCTATTATTACTTTTATTTAGTTATTAGAAAACAGGCATAAATGTATATATATCGACGGTGGAAAGGAAGAATCACTAAAGCGACATTTTGTGAATTTTTACAGTGGAGCGTTCTAAAGTTTTTTTCTAGAGATTTCGAGGTATGAGCTCTTTTGACATGTTATTTAAAATTTGAATAGCATTAACTACATTACAAAATTAAAAAATACTTCTTAAATAAATGTCGCTTAATCAAAATAGTCCAAAAATAGTTCCCGGGAGAAACCTTGATGCGACGCCATAACGTGAATTGTCTCGGAGAGAGCAATGAAACGACATCCTATGGCCGATCCATTCCGGGAATGTTGATTGAAGCAATTACAGTCAGCTCAAATTTCATAATGAATTAAAAAATGTTTTTAATAGGTATGTTTAGCTTTTGAATTTAGCCAAGAGGCGTTTTAGTATGACTTCTTTTTAATGAACTTCATTTTGAAATCAAAGACGTTTTTCAGAATTTTTTTATATGAAGAAATGCTATCTTTGGGGACAGCTACACCTACATCGCTGTTAGTCGCTTTTTATCCGTATTATTCAGTTATGTTGCTGAATTTTTATTTAAACGTAATAAATTTATAATCATTGCATTTTAGGTGATAAAGATTTTTAGCTGCATTATGTTTCAGTCTATTTCTTACGTTATTATTGTTGTATAATATAACATATAAAATGTTGTTTATTTCTATATTATTTTTTGATGCCAAAGTTCAAAAATAGTTTTCATGACTTTAAAGCTTCCTGTAACTTATAACTGCCGTTTAAAGGAATGAATATATTTGGTTGTTTTTTTTTACGCTCATTTAATCGACAAACAGTTGTTATTAAGCTTGCCGGAAGAAACGTTTAAGTAACTTATCTCATAAAATATGTGCTTAGAAAAAACACTTCAGTGACATTACATTTAAAACAAGAGGTTTTTAAAAACACTTTATACCGGGTAAGGGCGCGTTCCTTTCCGTTCATTACGTCGTGACGACATAGTCGTCAAAATGAAATTGTTCACATATAGCGCAAGACGATTAAATGTCGTTCACGACTTTTTTAACCGACTTCAAAAAGGAGGAGGCTTTCAATTCGACTGTATGTTCTTTTTTTATTTTGAATGTATGTTACGCGATAACTCCGGTATTTGTGAACCGATTTTCATGATTCTTTTTTTGTTGGAAAGGGGGCACTTCCATAGTGGTCCCATTTCATTTTGAATAAAATCATCCAACTCTAAGGATGACTGTTCACGCATGAAGATTCATTTTTATAAATAGCGCCTAACTTTAATTTAGTAGCAATTATTTTAATGGTTGATTTTGCTATTTCTCTAATTCAAGGCGTTTATCTCTCTATATACTTTGAGTAGTGAGAACCGATTTTTATTATCTCCAGTGTCAAGTCCTGTGTAGTGGCGAACTAGGGGATATTTCAATAAAACTTAGCAAATAGAAGTAATTCCACGTACTTTTGTCGTGATAATGGAAGAGGTAGAACTTTGTTAACGCCAAAGCGCCAGCCGTGAACCGATCAATTTTTGTCACGATTTAGTGGGAACAGTTAGACACGACAGTTGTTCAACGACAAAACACACACAGATGGACAGACAGATAGTCGTGATATGGGAACAGGCTAGATGCTACAGACGTCCAACGATAAATAAAACGTTACGACATAATGTGAACGCGCCCTAATTTAAGGAGAAGTGCCATGTTAAGTGACATCGATTATATTTTACTAAACTATTAAAAATTGTGCATAAGTTTATACATTTTAAAACTGACGCTAATTTCTAGGATGCTATAACCGACATCAAGGTAGTCGTGAAATCCAGTTAAAAAAAAAACGCAATTTCAAGGATATATATAAATTAATTTTATCCAAAATGTCACTTCAGTGGTTCTTCCCTTGCACCGGCGATATATATTATATGACAGCTTCTGGTCTGTGTATGGTTTCCCGAATATGTTTGTATAATAATGGCTTAGAATGTCGTTAACTTCAGGATAAGTACTGTAAATTAAAGGTTGACAAGGAGGAATTTGTGTTAAACAATGGCATGTTAATGCCTATATAATGTCATCATCAATCTTACCCTCATAGCCATAGGGCTGCGTGAATAATCGACAGGTTGACACGTGTAGTTGTAGTGGCCCCACCAGCCGCTCATTAGGTACTGTGGATAAAACATAATCGGTTAGCATCGATTAAACGTACGAAATCACCGAATTAAGAAGTCAATTACTTGTATTATGTGGTTTACGTATTTTTAGCTTATTGTCGTCACGAGATAAGATTGTCGATAAAAATAATGTCTTACGGAAAAAAAAGTTTTATCAAAGTTTACATCCGGGCATGAATGGCGTGATTATCGTACATCATCGTCTCTGTTACTTTTTAAACTGCCTCCGTGGCCGAACGGTTACCATACCGGACTGCCACGCAGAGGTCCCAGGTTCGATTCCCGGGCCGGGAGAAATATTTGTATGGCCTACAATTGTTTCTCTCGTGAGTTTGGGTGTAATTTGTGGTTGTCTAAGTGTGTGTCCATGGCACCCGCGACACAGGGTTTCCCTAGTGCGGGGCTATGTTGAGTGTGTGCGTTATTTATTTATTTATTTATTTATTTGTTATTTTATAGACTGCAATGAACATTTTTCTTGCAAGTTTTTTGCGTATTTATACTTATAATTGGAGTTTTATATTTAGTAACGATAGAGATCCATGTGAAAGAGTTTGTCCAGGGAAGTACTGTCACCTTATCTATTTCTGACGCCAGCAGTAATGTGAGCATTACTGCGTTCCGGTTCTGAGGGGTAAATGTGCTGATGAAATTATGGGCACATGGGACTTGTCAACTTTTGTCTCAGGTTGACAGGCGCAGTGGCAAACGACGACCTCCTTGGTAGTGTTTGCACACCGGTTTTTATGGTGTCGCCATCTCTGAGGTCCTAGGTTCGATTCCCGGCTGGGTCAATGTAGAAAAGCGAAATTTCCTATATTGTCTCTGGGTCTGGGTGTTTGTGGTAATGTCGTTGTTTCCTATTTCTATAACAAAGTGTCTTAGTTACTTATTTTGGGATCAGAGCAACGTATGTGATGTTTAATATTTATTTATTTAAAATTAAGTAACGTAAATTTTACACAACTCATTGCTTTTTCATTAAAGATGCAGGTAATTAACAGCAAACCAATCGACTTATCTCTCGCAGGGCTAGGTACTTTATTAATATAAACTAAAAACAGAAACAGACCTAAAATTGAACTTTGCGGGACGCCCATGGGAATTGCAACCTCAGTTGACTTCGTGCCATTGACAATGGCCTTTTATACTCCACTTAAATATAATTTAACAAGATCGAGGTCACGCCCCGCTTCCCCGTTATGGCGGAATTTCCTGACCCAAGTATCATGGTGTCTTGCCTTGGAATCTTCACAGTTGAAACTTATAACATCCCTCGCGTATCAGATGCACGGTTCGTCAACTCAATATCAGCTTAATTATGCAGAAGCCTCGAGACATATTGAAGAATTTAAGAGACTTAAGCTATTACGGTAAAAATGTGAACAGTAGGTAAACATAGCTGATAAAAAACAATTTTATTGAGTTTCACCATCATTATTTGTAAAAAAAAAACTCAAGCTAAATAAAGACCACCAAAACAATCAATTAAAACAATTAGTTATTTTGACAGAAAGACCATAAAGATGAGCAGCATTTTTCGTAGTTAACGTAATATGTTCATGAAAAACTCAAATTGGGAATAATTTAATTGAAATGACGAATAAAAAAAAAACTAGAGAATTGATCTCAAGAGGCCCTTCAAATTCAGCCTGAGTTTTGGGTATCGTTAAGCAGAACTTTTTTCAACAGTGAAAATCCTTCTTTGACAATGTAACTGATTTGATCAAACCTTGTTAAAGCGAACAACTGACCATTCACTTGGGAATACCATTTCCCGATTAGCAGCTACCTAGCAACGGGCATAAAAAGTAACTGAAGTACACACTTGTCACTCGTTGAACGCCAGGAATAGAAAATGGCGGGAAAATGCCGCGCAACTTTCAAAACTTCTTTGATAACTGTAATGTCACATGAGATATTTACAATATTTGGTCTTTCCGTTTCATACAGTTATATTGAATTATTTGTGATATATGACTACAAGTTTTTTGAGAAAAGAAATCTGCCATCCTTATGTTAAGGATGCGTTATGATAAGGATGGCACACACACACGCACACACGCACGCACACACACACACACTCAACATAGCCCCGCACTGGGCAAACCCTGGGCCGCGGGCGCCATGGACACACATATAGACAACCACAAATTCCAGCCAAACTTACGAGAGAAATAAATATTTTTCCCGGACCGGGAATCGAAACTGGGACCTCTGCGTGGCAGTCTGGCATTGTCACCGTTCGACTACTGAGGCAGTATAAACAACATAACCGTCATTTTTAGCAAAATTGAGATAGTCACATATCTCTAGTCATATATAAGACATTGTCACATATCAGCGAAATGGGGACCGCTCATAATAAGCGGTTTTTTATGTCTTATTTAGTTACAGTTTTATTGTTAAGTAAAATCAGTATAAAACAAATTTATCAAATAAATAAACTTTAGGTGACAATATCTCGAAAGTTACCTATGACAGATGAAAATTATATATTATGACAAACAGGGCAGAAATGATAAAACCAGTTTTATTCAAAATTCAAAGGTACTCAACTTGTATGTGAAATATTATTCGCGTTGCTTCTCTGTCTTACACTTCGTCTAACCATTTTCAAATAATTCATATGATAAACGTGGGAGTGTGGACATGTTTAGTATATTAAGCCATTCAAGTACTACGCGGGCAATTTCTACAGTATGTACAACAAAATGGTTCACAATATCTATATGTTCTATAAGTTTCAAAAACTTATTGTGTAATAAGTATTAAGCAGCCGCCATGTTACTGCTGAACTAAACGCATGGGGATCCTTGAAGCTAAACATAAGTGATAGTTAACCCGTCATTTGTCCTAGAGCCACATGATATCTCTAACGCACAGCTGTTACATTCCCCAATTAAATACTTTTTTTACCAAAATCGTTAAGACACCGTACGTCTTAGGATGCGTCACAGAATAACTCTGAAGTTCACGTCCTGGATTTTTTGATGTCCCATTTTAAAATAGAGTTTCCTTTATTAATGCTCATAAAAATAGTATAACTCTGTCTTAATTAAGTTGATAAAATATTTTTTAATATTTTGGAATACTTTGCACTTAACATGCAAATATTTTCCTACTAAAGTAGTGTTCACTTGCAAATCTAGTGTTCGCCCACATCATCAACTACATTTTTTAAAATTTTCAGTATTATTTGAGCCAACTGGAGGGAATAGAGAGATTTGCACGACAAGTTAAATGAAGGTATTAGGTAGTGTGTGAATGTATACAGTTGTGTGTAGCTCACACGCATCTTAGAATAGTTCTCCACTATTACAGATCCGACATTATGATATTTCAGAAAGATGTGATTAGTAAAGATGCGCTCTTAGTGATGTGTAGAACTTACCTCGTAGCATATCCATGCGCTGAAAATGGTCTGAGCCAAATTATAGAAGATGAGAACTCGTCGCAGCTCAAACGGTTTGCGGTTGGCCATGAGGCTCGGGCCAATCTTTCTTGCACATATAGCGTATCCGATGCAGATTGCCAACGTCGGCCATGGCGAAGACATCATGGGCCAATCTTTTACTCGCGGGTCTACAAAAGAGCAGATAATATAATTGATTAAACGCAGCGATTTTTATAGAAGGAACATAATAATATTGAAACTTTTGATTTTTGCGATTGCTACACATTGGATTACGACAATATTTTTACGGGTATAAATCGTGTATTTTTTTTTCAAACTGCCTCTTTACAACGGTCCTACTCTTGTTCTCCTTCCGACATCCGTCCGAAACAATTACTGCCAATAAGTAATACTCGACCAAATTAAAAGTCGCGTGATGCGAATGAATGATGAATATTTGACATTGTTTTTTGAATTTTTTTGGTTATAGCTGAAAATCAGCGGTTTGCTCCTGAGTAAACACCGACGCTGAGCAATTGCCTTTTTGCACTGCTACAGCACACATATAACTGGATGTTCGGCAGTGCTGCGACTCTGTTGTTTTTTTTTCTTTTTACTATATTACATATTTTTCTGTTATGTATGTGTGTCTGTAGATCCAAATAAACGTTCTATCTATCTATCTATTTGGTCGGGTATTACTTATTTCAGTTATTCGGGTATAACATATGAGTACAGATGAGCTGTTTTGAAGGATTAAAAATACCTTATTTGCAAATTCATACTGTTACCTTTAATAGTTAACAGTCCTCAAGGCCACGACTAGTTCTGAATGCCCGGAAGCGCACGTTTGTTAAAAACATTTGATGTATGAGGAAGCTACTTCAAGTAAGATGGCTGTTTACGTAGTCCTATATAATTTCGTATAATACAAGCAAATGTAATATAAATGTATTTTAAATTTTTATTGAATTGATATTCAATTATTTTTGTGAAATCGCACATAGAAAAAATCCTTCGATCCGGCCGGATTCGAACCGACGTCATCTAGCTTACCACGCTATACCAACTAAGCCACGGAACCAACCTGCGGATCTCACGAATTTTTCTATGTGCATGCGTCGTATCTTTGTATTGGGTTTTACCAAACAAAACGTTCCGTGGCTTAGTTGGTACAGCGTCTGTCACGGTAAGCTAGAAGACGTCGGTTCGAATCCGGCCGGATCGAAGGATTTTTTCTAAGTGTTCAATCTTTCTATTAATAAATATAACAAACTAGTGGAGTTATTTCACAAAAATAATCGAATATATATAAATGTTTCAAAGACAAACAAATTACACACAGACAGAAATTCGATGAAATATCTTCTAAGTAAGATATAAAATAACATGATGAAATAACAATTTGCACATGGGCGATAAAATTGTAAACTCGTATTATTCAAAGGCTATTGTGGATTTTTAAATTTATATAATTCTTGTTATCTACCTCGCACCTACATAAAACAAATTCAAAGGTTCTCAGTACGACACGAGTTACGTGAAAATCAGGTTTACAGTTGTTTGTTTAAATCATTATTACATTCTATAGTACCCTACAAAGTAAATGTCAATCATTGGTCGTGAAAAGCAAACAAATTATCGCCATCGCAATTTACCTTATTGAGGGTAACTTGTTAAACAAGTTGACAAACATCCTGTAGTAGTGACGACGTCAAGCATCGCTTGCCACTTTTTCTAGTTTGTTCTAATAATTATTCGAAGTAGTGGCTTTGTAGTTGGTAAATAGTTAAAGTGTCGAGTGCGTCATGAGGTTGCGCGGTAGCAGGCTGGTATGAGTTGTTGCAACTGACATAGCTGCGCGAACGACAGTGGTTCGAACGGCTGATCGAAGCACGTCTACCACTATGGAACGTTCCACAAGTTTATGCAATATGTTGAGCAAAAACTCAGACACACGCCGCCGCAGTTGCATTTTACAGGGAAGAAACGACATTCAAAAACGCGTTAACGACTAACAGTTTGTATACAACAAATGCATTGAAAATAACCTATATATATATATATATATATATATATATATATATACACGATGTGTTCTTTTTTAACCAGGATGGTATAGGGAAACCCGAAACTGTCGGAGATACAGGGAATCTGTCTTAGGAACAGCCATTTCTTTGTGAAAACAATTTTAGTCAAGCGCGAGTTGTACATAAAAATGAAGAAAATTATTGTTGTTTTGTGCTGATGCTCAGTTTCATGTAAGGATCAATTTATTGTATTGGATGAAAAAATCGGGACAGCTCGGAGCAGCGGAATATCCTTATTTAAAGCACTGAGTGGCACTGCAACTGTTATGGACAGGCGTGTCGATTACCACCAGGCGTAAGACTTGTTCGTTCCATAATTTTTTAATTGTTTTTATGATAAAATAAGAGCACATCTGTTATGTGACTATGGAGCATGCACACCTAAATAATGCCTATTCATTCTCGCCTTGAAAAGGCCCAAGTTATAGTGTTCAGGGAATAAATCTGCAGTCAAAGAATTCCACTCCATAGCCATTCGCCATGGAAACGTGAAAGTGTAACGCTTCGTGTGAATCTGGTCATATATTTGACGTTTAGAATATTTGCAATGTATGTATAATGTAGCTTTAGAATTTATACTCGACTAGGATATGTACAATACATATGGAAATTTAAATGTATACATATTTAAATGTATAATTAAATAGAGCACTTAGAAAAAAATTCTTCGGTCTAGCTAGATTCAAACCAACGTCTTCCAGCAAACCGACGCCATGCCAACCATATTTTTCTATGTGCTGGTTGCAGATTTTTGTTTTTGGTTTTTGACGAGTTTTTTGTCGTTGTGCCATCTGTGAGAACTTATTTCTTCACTCAGCCAGGTACCTTTACATCTACCAGTAGTTGCTAGAGATGTCGCTTTAATAATTGTATTATAAGTTACTAAATGTTACCAGTTTGACCATCATGATATTCAATTACTTTTATGAAATTATTCCACTAGTTTGTTATAATTATTAATACAAAGATCGAACATTCAGTAAAAAATCCTTCGATCCGGCTGGACGCTATGCCAACTAAGACACGTAACGAACGAATAAGAATTTTTCAATGTGCTGGTTGCAGATCTTGGTTTTTGGTTTTTAACGACTTTTTGCCGTAGCGCCATCTGTGAGAAATCTATTTCTTCTTTAGTATTAATAATTATAACAAACTTGTGGAGTAATTTCACAAAAATAATTGCATATCATAGTGGTCAAACATCTTGACATTCAATAACTTAAAAATTAAATAGATTGTTTTTAGATATCTCTAACTAAAGTGAATTTGATTTGGCGCTTTAACATGTATCCCGTATATAATGGATGGATAAATTAAAACGCAATGTCCTTACCGCTTCTATTGTCCATAAGATCTCTATACCAGTTGATTATGCTCGCCATCTTTGGTAGAGTTTCGTAGCTAAGTAACTGAACCTGTAACAAAACGATAACAATATATCCATTATCAACGTCAAGTCTCTGGAGAACAATGTAGGTGTATAAACAGGTAATGTAGTAGTTTTATTACAGAAAATCGACCACTGCCCTAATTATGAAAACTACAATATTCATAATTAGGGCAGTAGTCGTTGTCGACGGCTAGGTGTGGGGCGATAACATTTGCAATAAATTTGGTGGCGGTATTGGTGGCACGGTAGTCGGAATTTTTCAAGCCTTTGCCGCTGTTATTCACCATACGTTGTATCAACTTTTCAGTTATTCTATTATTCAACGAGCTAATACACCACACCACTTGAACGATTTCATTATATGTCCAGTACTCTGCATTATTCTATTTCATGGAACATTGAGGTGAATGCACTTGATTATGCTCGTAACTTGCTCAGGAATGAACCACGTCAATAGCGGCGCGTGTAAGCTATCATCACATGAGTGTTATCGTGAATATGCAATTTTTGCTTAATTAATGATACGTGCTAGTTGGCAGTTGACCACAGTATAATGTTTTTCGATGACAATAATACCTTTGCTATACAAATTGAGCAACAAAGTCAATTAGATAATAAGAAACAATATGCCATATGCTAGAGATGACTTGTTACTTGACTTGTTCTGTACGTCCATTATGTTAAAAGAATATAAAAATAGAACACAAATATGCATAAAATATTTCGCGGACGCGGAACAGGGAAATAGTATATAGCTTGTTGATCTTGCTATGGTATGATGAATATTACTCTATGTTTGTATCACAAATAGTGCGAGTAACGTAATCCTATGGCCGAATGGATACAACCATAGTGGAAGCACGACCACGTTAGCACATTGCGTTAGCGCTTTGTCTTTAAAAACTTGACCATTTATAGATTTCGCATACGATTAAGGGAATTTCCTATAGTTGCGCCACGAAAGCACTTCGCAACCGCCTATCTAGCAAAAGGGGGGACGATCGCGTCAAATTTACATATTCATTGAATGCCAAACGCAATGATCATTTCATGAAAACAATAATGTAATGTCGTATTATGTGTAGGAAACAGGCGTCCTGTAGGACTAGTACGACAGGGATCGCTATGCGAGAATAGCAATATCTCGCGCTTTATGTCGCTCTCGCGCAAATTGCGCCCTACTGTGCTAGCCCTACTGATGGGACAAACCCAGCTCATGCGAAAAGGGTTTTTCGATGTATGCACTGAGGTATGCACAGGCGTAGTCAGCAAAACGAATCGCCAATGATAATGAGAAGTGACGGTGACACGTCTGTTCCTAAAACTCACGTCGGAGTAAACTTTCACGTTATTGTCACGTTCCTTGAATGAATACGACAATGTTTATCTGCGATCATTATTTGTTTAACATTGTAAGGGAATAAACTCTAGCCAAGGTAGGGTCAGGCCGCCGTCAATGATTCTTAATAAGCAAATAGTCAGGGGCCACGAGCTATGGAAAACGCGTCGTTAATGATGTGTATTAAAATAATAACAGCTTGGCGTTAAAACAAGGTTAGGTGACGGTCATTACCGAGAGTGATTGGAGTAAACAATGGTAATCTCGTTTGAGTGTATAAGAGGTGTTTAAATGTCCAACAGTTTGGATAAACGAGTTCAGCAATGATTTGAGAAGGGCGTGGTGCGCATGCGACGGTGGGTGCCGACGCGGCTGATCTTGCACAATCGACTATTGAGTATGCTATCTGCCGCGGCCTTGACCTGATCTTCGCTTCGGTCGAAACACACTTGCTCCTCCGCCACAAATTAATTATAGCTATTTTAAAAGTATAACTTGCGTTACTTTTACATAACATTATATTGTAATATGTGTTACACTGCGCTCAATACATAGTCATCAGATAAAATTTACAATTTTATTATTCGAGACGATGATTACGTAGTTTAAAGCTACTTTTGTAACATTGAGTACTTTTGAATTTTTCGTGTAACACAAATTATAGGTATTTATTAAGTATAAATATAAATATTAAAAAATATACATATACAAAACTAAATAGTATATTATACATTTTGTTCCAAAATTTATACAGTGCAATTGTTTGCATTCGTGAGCTTTTGGTTGAATTTTGTGTGGTCAACATTTATACTCGAAACACCGGCCCAAGTCCGCAGTTGTTCTTACAAGAAAAAAAAATTGTCTAGAAAAGAAAGATCTAGAAGAATAAATATATAGATAAAAAATGAAACCTGTAAATGACAATATTTCGGAATGGAACGTTACTAGTAAAGCAGTCACAACTTTCACTGCAGCGAGCGGTTCGTGGTCCGCACGATTTACGTAAGGGTGTTGCGCCAGAATGGCAACGCGCCTGCGCTCGCGCCCTGCGGAACCACTGACCCACTGCCACAGACGCGTGCGTACTCCACCCCACTCCGTTCCTCGCTCTCGGGCCCTCATATCCATCTGACAGAATGTTCTCAAACATTGCGTTAGCACAAAAACCGCGTAAGCTCCTACTATCGCAATAATTATGAAATTAACCAGTTTTGTTCCTAATTTTTACACTGCACTTATATTTCCAATTCAAGTTAACCCCGATATTGCAGTTAATATTACCAATATGTTATGTACATTATTATAATTGTAATATTCACGACACAGCAACAAATATTTGATAAATTAACGCTAAAATGAGAATCTCTAGGTCAGGGAATCTCGAATGTATAGTTAAGTATTACGTAAATATATGGACCAAATTTTTTTCCCAACGGCATTGACATTGTTCCTTCTAAACAGTGCGCAACATTTGTGTCTTAATTTCATGACGGTACAACAACAAGTACTTGGCTTGCAGTCAAACGATGCGTCGCAGTAAGTAGGTATGCGCGATTTAATACTTATAAGAAAAAATTACAAGAAACTTAAAAAAATGGAGGTGAAACTGACAATGGCTTAAGTAAATACCGCCGTTTATCACATTTATTATGTCACAACATGTTCTTTTCTAGTACTTAATAAATCGGACAGGCAAGACTATTAATTAAATGGATATAAACACCATAATTACTTCCTCAAAACAAGAGATTATAAGTCAATTTGTGAATTTACCTTGGCTCAAGAGTCAGTATTCAGATTTGATGTTCTTTATTTCATTTTGTGGGTGGTCCAAGATAATCTTAACGAAGTGCAAATACGAAGTCCACATGTTTGTGGTCAATTGAAAGTCAGCAGAATCTACATGCGCATTTACATACATTGTGCAAAAAATAGGGGGCGTTATTTAAAAATTTTAACACTTAAAATCAACTGTTGCGGATTCCACTTATACGAAATCGTCACTGACGAATTAATTGAATGGTCAGCAATATATTAAGATAGATATCTTGCGATTAAAATTATCCTTAATGGTACTAAGTAATATTAATGTTTTTTAATACGTTAACTAATTGATGAACTGCAAAGCTAATTTCATAATAAAATGATTATAAAATGATTGATTGCTTAATAATTTAGTAGTTTATACGTTCCTCTATTTTAGTTATCATTCCTTCCAGTAGTTCTGTATATCTTAATTTTGCACTTACGTTTTCATACATCTATGTTAAACTAACTTCTGCGGCAAAAGGTACGGGCTGATTATACTTTCTATACCGATTTTAAGCTATGTTGTTTTAAACCTTTATAGTGTTACATTGTAAGTTGAATACAATGTTATACTTTATCCGATTGCCGCTGGCCACTACGATCAGCTAGTGACCCTAATAACATGGGAATCTATGACGGACGATGGGGATTACACAACATTATCGATATGCAGCGATGATCAATTGGACACTAGCGAAACCTTCCTCTGCTTCTTATGTAACGGAAGATGGACAAATGACAATTGATTTATGACGTCCTCACTTAGTCACTGCGCCTCACTTTTCACTAGCAAAAAATTAATTAGTAGAATTCATTGTTTATGTGCAAATACGTTTCGTGGTAAAGTAAGAGTATTGTATAGTATTTCTGTGAGAGACGATCTTATGGAACGCGTTGAACGATACAAAAAGCGGTAGATTGGGACTTACGTTGTTATCACAGGGTAATTATGTAAACTGTGTATTTTATTAAAGTAAAAAGACTTTTGCCACGTTGTGAAACGTAAAATACGTATTATATTATAAAATAAATTAAATAGAAATTTTACACGGTTGCACAATATCCTTTGAATTTAATTATAATTTGAAATTTATATAAGTACGGCATATTGTAACGATTTCTATAATACACACCACACATGTCATTTACAAACTAATATGGGTGACCAATTCTTGCCATAATACTGGCTTAACACGAACGCGATACCGAAAGATATCTATGATTATGATTCATTGTTCTAATCTTATCAATACTATATACTTTAAGAATAGTTTATTCCAGGAATAATGTTTACAAAAGATGAATAACATCGAACTGAATTTGAGATAATGTTAATAGCATTATTAAAAATTAATACTTTTGTAATAATTACGATGAACTAATTCAAGGTTAAAGGGAATCAAATCCATAAGCCCTCTTAGCATAAAATTGCCCCGGTGCCAAGGCGAAACGAGAGTCGAATTAAAACAGTCTTCGATTGTTAACAAATTATTCAAACTTGCACATTATCAACTAGTAAGTAAGTCTATTAATAAATGTTAACCTTTAGAAAATCAACCTTGCTAATTACTTTCAAATTCAATGTCTTGACGTCATTGCCATCAAAATGACCATTTCATTCATAATTACACGAAATAAATTTATTTTCCTTTAAAAATAAGGGGCGAGTATTCAAATATAGAACTGCAAATTTGTTTTCAATTTTCTACTCGTTCTTCCAGATTTAAGGATTTTCCCAAGATTCGATTGACTAGAAGATATTATGAACATGTAAGTAATTTAAATATACTATGTGTAAAATTATTTTTTTATTAATAATACCCATAGCATGTTTAATAGTCTTTCACGTGAAGTAGGTAGATTGAGCAAAAGTTGCTTTCAATTATTCAGAATTTTGTTTTAAACCGCACTGCTACTAAATTAAAGCAAATTGAAAATAGTCACTAAGCCTTATCGAACGACTTTAAGTAAAAAGAAAACACTATATTATTTGTAAAACTAATAAAGAATATTTGTCAACTTAACATCGGATCGAGAAATTATAATTCTTACGAAAAAAATGTGATATCTACTTACGAGTTTAACAGGGAAGAGGAACGTGGAGCGGTGGTTAAAGGATGAAGTGTTAAAGGCGTCCTTTCTACAGGCTATGGTGTCAATGGAATACAAATAAAACGCAAGCAGGTCGACTTTCGCGCGTATGGCGTTAGCGCAGGTGTCGGCGTCCACCGGCGCCGCGAACGGAAACTGACATGCGCGCGCGCGCGCGCTGTACACTTCTACACCGAGTACCGACCGACCCTGTAGGTACCTACGTCACACCGACGTCACAAGGAAGCTTTAAAAAACCTCATCCTTTGCATTGCAAATGCACTGACATGTGCAAAACTATTCAAGGTGCATAACATATTGCCCTTTTTCTTATAATGGCAATTGGCGGTAAAGGAACTCGAAGTGATTATTAATTCACCTCTTCTTGTAGTAAAGTTAACCAAATCCGCAATTAATTGTTTATAACTGGTAACAAATTGGGATACAAGACTTAAATTTTCTGCCATGTTCTAAAACCAGTAGAGTTTCATGAACCACTTAGGTTGACTAGGTTAAAAAAAAAATAGAAATGCCGTTTATTTCTTCATAAAAGATTCCACGTATTTACATAATACATACATACAATACCGCAGATATTGCGCGCTACTGGTTGAATATAGCAGCATAGAGCAAATATCTAATTCTAATATATAAATAGTTAATTATAATAAAATAATAAACAGTTATCTTTAAGTTCTGTTTACATTTGTTTGAATTTATGTTATAACAGACATACAATAAAAAAACTTACTGTAGTGATAGGAAGGTAAAGCTCCAATTGCTGGGGTCCGAATGTCGCAAAGTCTTAACGGTCAATGATACCTGAAACCGACCACGAACGAATAAATAATACACTCGATAATCTAAAACGTCATTCAACAACGTCAAAACATATACTGGAGCAATGAATAATTTGTTTTGTCGACAAATTTCGTTAAACCTGGTTTAAAAATACCACAAAGAAAAAATTTACTTAATTAGATGGGCTTTTGTTTGGGGAGCGTTAATTACTTTGTAGATTACGTATTTTGTTGACGTTCGTTAATTAAAAATCAATTATTGGGTTTCAGAATCAGCTAGATTATTATTTCTCGAGTTGTACGACTAGTGTTAAATCATTACACATATTATTATGGACGGTGTTCTGTATAAGAGAGTACTGCAGTCTTAATCTTTGGAATGTAAAGTTTAATATTGTTTTGTTAAATGTGATTAAAAGAAAAAATATTTACACAAAGCTTTATTTGTCTCTTGAACGGGAATAGAAAAAGGTTACGAGTTTAAGGATTGATATGCACAGTTCCTTGAATCAAAAGGTTATAATGGAACCTTATCAGTACACGTCAAGATTGCTTAGTATTTTGAGTATATTTTTGGGACGGATTCAAGTTTAGGAATTAAAATATGAGGTTACATCTCAGAATCCAAATGTTGGTTCTCCAAAAAAAAGAAACAAACAAATTAGTTTTCTTTTTAACGGCGGTGTAAGTGAGTGATTAAACACACTATAACAGTGGCGTTAATGACGATCAACTATAAAATCACATGTGTAAGACCAGAAACTTTGCCCCCGCTAGATGTGACACAACAGTCAGAAAAGGGAGTTAATGTGGACCTAACGCAAACGTTTTCATAAAGTGATGACTTTACTGAACAATGGGAGCAGTGCGGAACCAAGTATCAATACATTTTAATCTATGGACGAGCCTTATTGATGAAATAATCAAGTGTATGTCCGTCAGAAAATTAAGTACGACAAAACGAATCTGTTGTTTATAGTTGTCTATTCTTGTCTTCATTTAAAAAGAGCGACTTGGGAGAGAGTTGGTACGGACCATGACGCTACACAGTCGGGGTCAGGGTAGGAGTATATAAGGAAGCACAACTTGGTCTACTACTTGGGCTCCTCACTACCTGAGGTCGGCCAGCCGTGCTTCGGATCTCTCTACCTTCCGCGATGAGGTAAACAGGGCAGTCAATATGAACAACAGAAGCAGGTCTGCAAGTGCGACTTTAACTGGCTTGACTCCGCAAACAAGCTGTAACATGAAAAATTAATTATATATGGTAGTAGGGATTCGATATGGTTTCCGTTTGTGAAGAGACATTGGATATTTCACGTTATTATTACATATTCTGACGCCATTGTGACAACAAACAGCGGAACTAGAACGACGGATCGCTCAGGCATGGGCTGTATTCGGTGCAAACAAACAAACGCTACGTAGCACAATACCCCTGCATCAAAAAGTCTTCGACCGTGTGTCATGCCCGTGCTCGTCTATGGTACGGCATGGTTTCCGTTACTCTTACATAGAAGTCTGCCAAGAGGTTCCGAGTCACGCAGAGGGCCATGAAGGGAGCAATGCTCGGAGTTACCCTGCGAGACCGAAAAAGCAATGCTTGGATCCGAAATAAGACCAAAGTTAAAGATGTCGTAATTGTCGTGGCGAAGAAAAGGTGGGCGTGGGCGGGGCACATTGCGAGTATGGACGAGAAGCGACAAGGCGAGTACTTGAGTGGAGACCCAGAGCGCCACAGACCACCGCAGCGCTGGATGGACGTCATTCGACGACACGGAGGTTGGGACTGGTGGGGGAGATCGCCAAGAGTGGAAGAAGAGGGAAGAGGCCTACACCCAAGATTGGATAACAAAACGGCAGCCATGATGATGATGACTGTGACGCCCATATGACTTCGAAGATTCCGAGACTCTTTGAAGTTACATTATTATACGTTTTTTGAGTCGGTACAAAGGTGTCGATTACCAGAGCTAACAATGAGCTGGGTGGAAAAAAGTTGAGAATCAGGAAGTCACAAAAGCAACATACAACAACGAACAACATGCGATTTTTATGCGAACGATTTTTATTTTCTTCAAATTAGAACTACATGCAATTCCATATACTTTTTTAGTATATTATTAGAAATCTAATTTAATAGCCGACAATGTTAGTTAAAATACTCACATTACATAATATACAAGGAAAAAAACTTTAGTTCTATTGGTTACCAAACTATCTCCGGTTCCACAAAATTGTTTAAAAAATGTGTCTGGATATCAATCATATAGTAAGTACAAAATAAACTTCGTAATGCCACGAAACGTATGTCAAATTAAACTTGATCCTTTGAATTTTTTTATTCGGTCGTATCGCTATAATTAAAATTTTTGGATAGCTTACTTGCAACTACGTATAACAATTGTCCTTGTAAAGTTCGAAAGGTTTGGGTCAGTTCTTGATTTTTTTACATTTGAATTTTTTTCGCTGTTGTTACGCAGGTGGTTTAACAAGTTTTTTTTTATAATATTCAATTATTTCGCCAACATGCAATCAGTCTAATTTGTCAAAATTGGTGAAAGTGTACATTGTTTACTAAAACAAGTCAGTGTTATCTGTAGAGTTATTTTAGTTGTACTTAGGATTCCGAAAATATTATATATTACACCTAAGACGGGTTAAGAATAATGATTGGAATTAAGACAGACAAATAGGTATGTTTCATATGTCACATTACACAGTGTACCGGAACATAAAAGCACGCAACTTGCTATTTCTACTGTTACAAACATCGTTTTCTTGAAATGTTTTCCAATGCGGCTCGAATATCGGCTTTATTTATTTATTTAAACACTTTATTGTACCACAAAGTAACTTACAAATTTTCAGAAACAATTTAAATATTTATGCACAAAGGCGAGCTTATCCCATAAAGAGATTTCTTCCAACTAACCTTTCTTTTTTTCTCCTATATAGACATAGTATATAATAATGTAGAGTATATAACAGTTTATAATTTTCATTCTTTTAACACATATGTCAACTTTATTTATGTGATCCCCTAGAAAAAAAATTAAAAAAATATTCATAAAATTGAACAGTTCTTATTAGTAGAGTGAATGTTGCTAAAAGGTTGCACAGAATTTAAATACATATATAGTATTGTAGTTAACGGCAGCGTCTTAAAAAAACTTCATGTCAATGGAACACATGTTACATAGCTATAAATAATACATTTAATTGCTTAAACCCTTAATGAATGGTGTCTTTTTAGACTTATGTATATTTCTGAGGTCTGTACCTAATGCTAGAGGACAATGGTAGTGTACAATGCCGCAACATCTTGTAATATATCATAACTTTAACTCGATTTCGTTATTTTTATTTTATAGATTTTCTCGTTAGGTATCAAGTCAGATAATGATAATGAGATAGTCAGACCAACACGACCATAGGTTTACACTGTATTCAGCGAAAACTGAAGTCTAGATAATGGCCTTTTATAACTGATCTGATAAGGGATTGGCTAAACAATGGATTTCATATATACTGGAAATAAGCAGTTACATAAAATTGTGCATACATACATTATTGGCGTGATTTAATTTAATGTTGATAGTTTTTTAAGTTGAATTTTTTTTCTAACAGTATGTTACAGTTCATACACCTATAGCCGTTGGTTTGTTGACGATCAAATAGACAAATTGTAAATGTTTAAATAACTGGATCTTTCTATATATAGAGTGTCACGGGTTGTACACCTTAAACTACTAACTGTTAACGATCAAAAGAGAACAATATCCTTTGCTCTTAGCGAAACAACGACAAAAATAAACTTTACTAAGAAAATTAACAATACCCTGTAAGCACTGTTCAGCTTCATTATTTGATTGTAATGCCCATCTGTACATCGTGTTCTCATTGAAAACAATTTAATGAGCCAAAATTTATGCACAGCTGCGTATACACGCACATGCGTACGTTTTAGAATCAAAAAATACCTCTTTGTTTTAGAATCAAAAAATACCTCTTTGTCAATAACTAGGTCAAATGAAATTCAAAAAAATATTGTTATGTATAGTGATGAAATGGGTAAAAATATAGGTTTGCAACTTAACCACCTAGGAATAAAATTAACAAATATTTGCATGCCAGGTGCAACATACTGTAAAATATTAGATAGTATTTTGTCAACTAAATTTGACAAAGACACTTCATTAATAATTTTAATTGGCAGAAGAGGAAAATGTAACAAAAAAGATTTAATACAATATTTTTCACAATTAAATAATTTAATTAATATAAAAGAAATTATTTTGTTAGCTTTTCCCTTCAGCAATAGCCTCACAACAAGTGAAAATAATTTGAGACATAACTTAAATAGAACTTTACACAGCTTGACATTTCATTGTAGTAAATTTCATTTTATGGATACTAATAATTTTATTAGTAAATATTTTTATTTGACTAAAGATAGGTATTATCTTTCTAGTTATTTTAGGAGACAGATAGCAGAGTTGCTATCATATTATATTAATAATTCAGCCAAATCATTGGCTACCAGACCGGCTGCTTCTATTGAGCAGTCCGTTGACATTGGTCAGTTTACTGACAATAATCATTCTGTTGAAAATAATTCAACTTCTAATTATTTAAATTAATTAATAAGACAACGGAGAGATACTCTTGCAACACAATGACAATAAAAAACCAACCTAAAACACACAGAAATAAAATAAATTGTATATTAAACCTGGTGCATCAAAATATTCAAGGCATGAAAGGCAAAGAGTTAGAAATAGAATTATTTATTAACTGTAATAATATTGATATTCTGTGTATTACTGAACACCACTTTCTATCAAAACATCAGTTCATGTTTAGCTTCAACAATCACCAGGTGGCTAGTTCGTTCAGCAGAGAAAAAGCTATTCATGGCGGCTCTTTAATTCTTATTAAAAATAATTTAAAATTTAAAGAACGTACAGATATTGTGAGCCTATCTATTGAGCGGACTATAGAGATATCCTGCATAGAGCTTGAACGGCTTGTTATATTAAGCGTGTACAGACCCCCTCATTAATCTTACGAACTATTTGAAAAAAGATTAGATGAAGTTTTAGGCAAATTAAATAATCCAAATAAATATATTGCTGTTTGTGGTGACTTCAATGTTAACTTATTAGAAGATTCCAGTGCTAGTAGTAGGCTCATATCATTTTTCCAATGTTATAATCTTGTGAATCTTTTCTTGGTGCCTACTAGAATAACTTCTACTACTGCCACTTGTTTAGACAATATTTATACTAACGCCGTACCTAGTAATAAATCTATTATAAATAAATTAACTTCTGATCACTGCGGTCAATTGGCCACTTTTAACATAACTGTTGACAAAATGCCAAAAAAGGATATCACATGTGTTCCGATAAATAATGGTCGACTTAAAGCTTCATAGAAATAATGTAATGCTTAAACTAACTGAACTTCCGTACGTTAACGATCCCAATAAATTGTATAATTCAGTTTTCAACATAGTCAAAAGTGAACGTGATAACGTTTTTAGGTCCAAGATCATAACTATTAATAATTCATTGAAATTTAGTGATTGGGCGACTGTGGGAATTCACAAAAGTAGACAAAGACTATATGATCTTTACGATGAAAGGACTTATAACACTAGTAACAGTTTTAATGATTTTGTTAGGAAATATTCGAAAATGTTTAAACGTGTTTGTGTTGCAGCCAAAGCAATGTTTATAAATAATAAAATAAAAAGCAGCGCGAATGTAGTAAAAGCGACTTGGAATATTATAAACAGCGAAACTGGAAAGGTCAAACCTCGTAACTTAGATTTTCAACTAAGATTTAATGACAAAATTGTAAACACAGACGCAGAAGTTGCTAAAATATTTGAAAATTTTTTTACTGACATTCCAATTTTGACTACTAAGTCGTTAAATTCATCTCCCACCGCCGCTGAATCCTTATTAAAAGAAAATAATGCAGTTAGTATCACTAATTTAAGGTTCCGTCATGTATTTCCAAACAATATTGTTAAAGCCTTTAAGTCTATAAACATAAAAAATCTGCTGATCTTGATGGTCTTTCAGTCAGAGTAATTAGTTCTATAGTTGATTGTATTGCGCCTTATTTAGCCTGTGTCTTTAATAAACGTGTTGATGATGGTGTCTTTCCTGACCTCATGAAGCAAAGTAAAGTTATTCCACTTTTCAAATCTGGTAGTATTTCTGATCCCACCAATTTCAGACCTATATCAATACTACCAACTCTCAGTAAAATATTTGAAAAAATTATTCTAAATCAGATGCGTGCACATTTTTATAGTAATAACTTAATGTCTCCTAAACAATTTGGTTTCACTTGGGGTCGCTCTACAACCGATGCTGGTGTCGAGTTGATTAATCATATATTTGATGCATGGGAAGTCTCACATGACGCTATTGGTGTATTCTGTGACCTTTCCGAAGCTTTTGATTGTGTGCACCATGATACACTGGTCAGCAAACTTCGCCATTATGGTGTGGCGGGACGTGATCTCGACCTTCTAAAATCGTATTTGCGTGGTAGGGTACAGAGGGTCGATGTTAACGGTACGAGATCGTCAGGATCTGCAATTAGCATGGGTGTCCCTCAAGGTTCAATTCTAGGCCCATTTTTATTTTTAGTTTATATTAATGACTTACCTAGCCTTATGGAGGGTATAAAACATGAGATACTATTGTTTGCTGATGATACTTCCTTATTATTTAAAGTTAAAAGGCACCAATGTTCCTACGACGATGTGAACAATGCTATATCTAAAGTAGTTGATTGGTTTGCTGTTAATAACCTACTTCTTAATGAGAAAAAAACAAATTGTGTGAAATTTACATTACCCAATGTTAGAGAGACGGTTACAAACATTGTAGTTAGAAACGAAAAATTGAATCTTGTGGATACAGTTGTATTTCTAGGTATAACGTTAGATGCTAAATTGCAATGGGGTCCCCATATAAGTAAGTTATCAAAACGGCTCGGCTCTGCAGTGTACGCGATTAAAAAAATAAGGAAACTTTCAGACGTCGAAACCGCTAGATTGGTTTACTTCAGCTACTTTCACAGTCTAATGACATACGGCATTTTGCTTTGGGGTAATGCCGCCGTTATCAATAGAATATTTGTCCTGCAGAAACGTGCAGTTAGGGCAATTTACAATCTGGGCCCCAAAGTATCTTTGAGAGATAAGTTTAAGGAAATTAACATTCTTACACTAGCCTCACAGTACATTTATGAAAATGTAATTTATGTTAAAAGGAATAGTAATTTATTTATGAGAAATAGTGACAGACATAACATTAATACGAGGAATAGAAATAAACTAGCTTTTCTTGATAGTCGTCTTCACAAAGTCAAAAAATCATTTAAGGGGCAATGTATACGCTTCTATAACAAGATTCCGGTTGATATACAAAATTTGCCTTTCACGAGGTTTAAAACTATAGTGAAACAAAAACTTTATACTAAAGGTTATTATACAACTTCTGCGTACTTGGATGACAAAAATCCGTGGTAGTAAGCCGTTTAGCTCATGGAGGTAGTCTCGATCTCTGATGTTTCAAATAAAAAAAAATATTGTAAATGTTATTTACAAAGAGCAACCCCTAGAGTTTCTTGCTCATTCTTCTCAGGGGAATCTGCCTTACGAATGAGCGGTAGAGTTTAACTATTGTGACGATTTCAAGTGTAATAATGCTTACCTATGAAATAAAGATTATTTTGAATTTGAATTTGAATTTGTACGCACAGACACAGAAGATGTACACTACACACAGGTGTCTAAATAATGCATATGCAAATACTTGCAAAACATTGAATATACTACCTTTTTTCATATTCCTTACTCACGTTTTAACAATCTTACATAAAGAACTTGTACAACAAAGTGGTAGAGATAAGAAGTCCTAATATTTTGTCGCCACTTATACTGGAGGAAATAAATAAATATTGAAATATCTATTACTTTGATTCAATTATTTAACATTGTACATCTATATTCTAGCCAAATTCAATGTAGAAAAAATGTCAATCCACGAAAAATTGTGATTTGTTGGGTTTTCACCTGCAACTGTTTTAGTTGCCACAATTTCAATATTTTTGTCTGAAATTAGATTAAGCTATTGATAATACTAACATTTAAAGTCATGTCTGTGATGAATTTTGTTCAATAGAAGTTTCAAATCACCTAAAAATAACATACAAATTGCCAGTAATTAATTATGTGCAAAACTGTGTCATCCTTAAAGATTTTTCTTATTTGAATGGAGAGATTGCAAACATTCAAGTTTGAGTAGTAATTCTAGAACATAATCAGAAATTGATGCTTCATGAGATATGTAGCAAATCAATAAAACACAAAATATTATAACTTTGTTTCTTTTCATCTACTGTTGCCTACTTAAATAGTAGTAGCAATAATATAATAGAATTAAAAAATTTCATTACTTTATGCCACCATTGGTTGCCTTGCAATGTTTTGTTATTAAACATTCTACATTGAATTTGGCTTGAGGCCTTTTTCGACTCTGTTGTAAAGGCCTATTTTTCAAGATACGACAAGATTGCTTTCCGGCGTCGATATGTATATAATTTTTTTTCTTGTTTTTTTTTTTTGTGTTACGTTAATACAAAAAAAATGTGTTTTCAATTACTTTTTGTGATGGTGGGCATTGAAATTTTCCATCTTGCCGAGGTACCCTAAAAAACTGGTGAGCTAAAAAGTTTGGGAACCTATGGGCTAGAGTTAGTTATTTATTTTATTGCATTATATAGCTTAACTTTTTATATACTTTGTGTGATGGATAAATTCTTATTAGTTTATTTGGTTGGTACATATGTTAAAACCAAACCTGAGTTAATAAAAAAAATTATATTAAATTTATAAATATAAGTACCAAAAATAAGTAGTCATCAGTGAACAGTCTTTTATGGCAGCTCTGACATTTGCATCCAAGGTAAGTGATGCAACAACACAAAGCAATAATTATGGTACTTCATTGTACTTCAAGTTTTTGATGTAAACTTCACTTGATTGCTTATCACTGAACATGGCGTGGCATGAAAAAAGATGACATGACACCACAGACAATTTCCAATAAAATTTTTTAGCTTAGGTAAAAAGAGATATTTTTTTTATACCAGTATTTCACAACCTTTTATTTTATCGTAATACAATATTAGCGATTATCTAATTGATTTAAATTCATTTTTATGGTAAGAAATAAAGAAAAGGTTACTAAAATTACGTAAAATAATAAAAAATATTTTACATAACTTTAGTAGTTTTGAGACATTAATATCATGTCACAGGCCCAGATCATGAGTAATACTTTTTGGTCTAAATTGTATGTAACTGAAATAAGAAAAATTTAAAAAGATTACAAAATAGCCCAAAGTCTCCTATTATTTAGGAGAGTAAAATACCACATCAATTATTTCCGAATTAATAGTCCCTGTTGTCATGTTGCTTGCATGAATTTTTTTGGTTGTGTATAGAGTAACAACAGGGAGTTTCAATAAACAATATGTTTTTTGCCAGAGGCATAAGTTACTCACTATGCCAAAACCTGTTTCTTTTTTCAGCCTATTTGCTATCTACATTTTTATTACCATTCAGCCTTGACTGTCTCGCGATAAATAATTTAGTGAAATATCGAATTCTACAAATTTTTTACTATTACTTTCGTTTTATCTAAGAAAGTTAGTAAGCATCTATTTATGTAGTGGGCGTGTACGAATTGTAAATCGACTCTTTAACTAGAACAGTTGGTGAAAACAGGCTCAAATATACAACTCACCTTATCTCAAATACTGGACTGTAGCAAAGACTCTCAAGGACGTCTGCATAAAACAAATTTTGTAATAGTTTCCAACAAACTCTGGTTACTTTTTCATTTAACTACGATAGGTGACTAATTTAGGTTATAAAAATAGCTGTTACGGAGTCAATCTTCATTGGATCACCTTCTTAAAGCTTGATATTTTGGTAGCATTATTACTTTGAACCGAAGGAACTAAATTTACCCTTACACTAACTAATTCTAAACGTAATTTTAACAATTTGCTAAATAAAATAAAATACAATCCACTCCCATTTGAAAAAAAGAAAGTGACACCAGGTGTCACAGATAAAAAAAGACAGAAGGAATAGGAATACGACTGAATGGTTTGTTTGAGTGAACAACTTCCATTCTGTACAAGATCTAAAGTTAATGAAACGAGCATATACTTTATTAACGCCATCTATTAAATTCAAGAAGTAACGTAATTTTATGTTAATTCCGCCATCTAGTGTCAAGTAGAAAAGAAGCCATATGTAAGTTCTTAAATTAAACAAAATTCACGATAGATGTCACTACATGCACAAAAAATACAAAAATAATGTCTCAATAAACAAATCGTTTGTTTTGTGGAGGACTTTTAACAGTTTGGCTTTCTGCGCCATCAGAGAACGATCAAGTCCTAGCGCCCACCGCAAAGTGGAGGCAATTGTGCTAATGAATGTCTTTTTTACACTCATTAAAGTGCAATTAACGTGTCATCGTCAGAGGATGAGAAAAGTACCCAGTTAGTTTCAATAGAAGGTGATTTTGGGTAGACCCTTAATATTTCTGAAATTGCGCTAAACTTCAAAGGTGGTGTAATTTTCTGCATTCTTGTTTCTTCCTGCTATTATGTTTAATCGGGCAAATTTAATGAAATTCACATTGGATCAATGTCGTCACATAAATGTTTAATTAATATGTTTGTGGCAGATCCACGTCCAAAACCCAATAACATAATGATGGCGGGGCTCACTTCATGTTCCCGCTGCGACCCCGCCGCACCCTTGACGGCGTGGTAAACAGCCAAAATGTGTAAGATTGTAAGTCTTGAATCTTGCAACCAATTTTGGCGCGATGACAACTCATGGATTTTCCGTGCTCGTCGTAATCTACAGTCTCGCGCCATTTAACGTCATACCATTTGTCCATAAATGTGAAATCCTTGCGCCGCGGTATTTGCGAATTCATATCCATGTTTTGTACGTAGGATGTGTGATTGAGAACTGAATGCCATTAGAGAGAAGCCGTAAGTGGTCTAAATTATAGGTACCTGTCCATTTTACCGCAGACGATCGGAATCACGCGAAAAGATGTAATCATGAACTCGCAGCTTAAATTAATAATAATCGTACATTCATTTCTCTCGCCAAATTTTGGTTACAAAATATTTGTAACAAAAACAGATCTTACATTCACTTGAGTTTAAGTGAGAAAGTCTGTTGGAGACTAAAGTCTAAACTCGTCATCAAGAATCAGTGTCATAAGGCTTCCAGGCTCCCAAACGCGAACGTATTGCAATTAAGTTTAGGTACAACAAATTTGGCAAAAATGTCAACATAAATATATTAAACTATTTCAAACTATATTATAAAGAAGCAACCGGTTAAAGCAAACCTAGATTCGGCTTGCCGCTTGTGCACGCGCGCCTCAATGGCTTCACGATTATTAAACGTGTGAGCGATACACTTTATGATGAATGTGATTTAGCTAGCGTCTAGATTATTTAATGGTATCTTGGGCATTACTCATGTACGTCAGTAATTCCGAGTGAAAAAGCACCTCGCAACTAAAAACAATAAAACACAAATATTTTTCTATTTCATATTTATTAACTATGATATTTTTAGAATTGGTACTTCAAAAGCTAGATACTAAAATATTATTGTATTAGCCAAAGGAAGTAGTACCAGCATTACAATGAACCCATCTGGTGAACTGGGAAACATGCAATCAAGTTATAGTGTTATCAAGTGCCTCTACCTACAACTTACAGATATGTATAAAACTATTTAACAAAACTTAAATCAGTGTATAAAGTCCACTGCCGCAAAAAATGCGATAATCATGACTATTCACTATTCAATTCCAATCTTCAAGTAATATAAATAAATACCTAAATAGGTAGTAGATGTAGGATTGTTAAGGGAAAATTTACTGATGCTAATGTTCACTGGGACAAGGTACGGTATTGTAGGAAATTTCTAATAGAAAATGTCAAGTTTTTGCAACAAAAAAACGTGTTACTACCTAAATCTAACCTTAAATTCCATAATTTGTTACTCCCTATAAATTATTGAAAAGAAATCTTAAACCTTGTTACCATGAGTAACAAATATAGAATATATAATCTGGTAAAGTTGCGATATAGCGATCGTCGAATCAATTAAGCAACCATAATAACGGTTACGACTGTCTCCTTGGTCAACTGCGTGGCATTCTACTATCAGCCATAAATACGTAAATGTGACACGTGTAATAAAGTTTTCTTGTACACCTGGCCGGATTATCTGCCGATGACACTACTCAATTTTATATAGCTTAAATCTGGTATTTAATGGGTTTTCTAGACGTTTTAATGGAAGGTTTCCACGCAATTTAGCTTACGTGGTAAAGCTAAATACACCCTAAGATCGTTCCATAAGTGTTTACCGATAATATACGGAAAGGGGCACAATGTTTTTCAATACTTTGTCGAAGTGCAAAACTTCATGTCATGTAATTTTGACTTCTCTCGATTGATTGAACAGAATTCGAACGTATTTTCACACATAATCGAATTTTTAAAGTAAAAACTTGGAAAAGGGAAAAATAGCGGGTTTTTGTGATCACGCTTAGTTACACGGTTTCGTTCAACTTAACCCATTAAGCGCCAAAATAAAACTACTAGTATTTTAACGATTAATAATTTAATTTCTAATCATTAGGAACATAAAGAAGCACAATAGAAAGAAAAAAGAAACTTTTTTATTATTTGGATGATTTTAGAGGGGTGTACTCGTCCGAGTACAGCGGCTACTTAGCGGTAATAAAGTTCAAGACACTCCCTTTCTATACACAGTGTTTATAAACAAATTTTGCATTGCCAGCAGTTCGCTGGCAACGCAAAATTTGTGCGTGACAAACTGCACAGCGTAATTGTTTCTCCATTTTTGGAGGGTAGTATCCAAGTCATCTTGTAATCTAAATCTAACTGAAATGAGCGCCTGTTGTTCTCTCTTGCATATAAATCTGTATTTAAATATGAGTAGGATTCAGGTCTTTGACAGCCTCCTTGACAGCCGCTTTTCTTTGACTTGCCTCACAAACTTCTTTAAGCCTTGACGAATAAATATGGTCACATTTACACCAATTTGGTATTCTTTCCTGCTGATATCATCGATGTCGCTTTGCAGCTAATGATACTTCGTCACTACTATCTTCATCACTATCAAGTGAATGTACAAAAACTTCAATATTTCCGGGAACGTGTCGTGGCAATGACGAAATAACCATGTTCTCATCGTCTCTTTCTTCTTCATCCGTAAAATTGCAAAATCATATTTAACCTAATCATCGCTTTCATCTAAAACGGCTTCAATGGCGTCTTCTAATCCCTTATAGTTGGTAATAGCCTGAAAACGTTTTGAAGTCATTGTTAGTAAAGGGAAAGAAAAAAAAAATGCGCATGTTAGTTCCCGCTGTACTCGGACGAGTACAGAATTATTTGCAAGAACATATTTTCTCTAATATTTATATTTACATTTGAATTCTACACTAAATATGATTTTATGCAATGGTAAGTACTAAATTGAGATATTTACTGAAAACAAATTCTAATCTAAATATTGCAATATACATAACAACAATGTACACTTACCTGAGACGACGTTCTGTTCTAAATGTATGCGATGCTCATAATGACACAATTCAAGATCTACACTCATAAAACATTATTATTTCAATAAGTTGTTTTTCTCAAAATGAAAAATACTACCCTCAAGAATCTTATAAAATACAGAAATGTTAAACCGAAGATACAATGTTTAACTGTACTCAAAATTAAATTACATTTGATCTCAATATTGAACTCAAAATTATATTTCGAATTTCCAAATTATTTGTCATCTTATAATTATTAATATTATAACAAACTAGTGGAGTAATTTTACATAAAATAATTGAATATTTGTTATCTTTTGTAATGAATAAAACTAAAATTGCATACAATATTTAAATTTATCATTTTATTTTTAATTTATTTGTATACTTACGCCCTTAAATTCCCATAGGGGTAGGCAGAGACTCTCGATCGCCACTTAGCACGATCCTTACAAACCTCTCTTGCTTCACTTACATTCATCAATCTTTTCATACATGCCCTGTTATTCTTCTCACTCCACTCCGGACTTTTTAAGAGCACTCTCAATTTGATCAGAGAATGTTGTTTGTGGTCGTCGTCTTCCAAAGATTCCTTCTACGTTAGCTCCATATATTTCTTTCGTTAATTATAAACTCCTCCCACCACCTCAGCATACTATATTATACCATACCATATTATATTATACTATATACATACATATTATATACCATATTACCATATAATATTATACCATATTTTTTATGGATCACAGCATTCTTCACTCTGTCCCAAAGCCGCACACCACATATTTCTCATTTTTACTTTGGATTGGATTATTTAAATTTTAATTAATTTTTGAGTCACTTAAATTAAGCAGAACGTTTAACTCCCATGTGTAGAGTTCACTGTTAGCAAAATTGTCATCTAGTCACAAGAAATCTATAAAAGAAACTTTGAATAAAATGATTAAAATATCTCATTAACCATTGCAAGTGGTAGCTCAATGATTGCAAGCATGCGTACCAAATCATTATTATTAATTAACTTTGAAGACTAGTACATGACATAGATTTTAGTTTCTATCCGACATGAAGTATTTCAATGATATCTCACATAGAAACAAAACAACATTAAAGCATAAACAATTTTAAAAAACGCTTAGAAAAAACGTCATTGTCGTCATAGTGATAGGGTTAATTTTTTTTTAAATTGCTTATCTGCGCCGTTGTCACGTAGTGATACGGTGTTACTACGGGAAAAAAGGTGAACAACTTTTGAAC